CACCCCACTCCTATCTCTCTCCACCCCACCCTACCCACTCAAGTTCATCCCACCCCACTCCTATCTCTCTCCACCCCACCCTACCCACTCATGTTCATCTCACTCCACTGCACTCCACCCTACCCACTCAGCTTGACCCCATACCACTCTATCTCACTCCACTCCTCCCTGCTCTGCCCCAGCACCTGCTGCCCAGGTGTGCCAGGGGGCCGCGCCACAGCTGGGGTACGAGACTGCAGCCCCCGACCCCCGGCAGGAGGACACCCTCCCACACCACCTGGAGCGCACGCTGGGGAAGGAACTTACCTGCATACTCGTCACTGGGCATCGTCTTGCCATCTCCCTCGGGCAGGTCGGCTGGGAAGACAGGGAAGAAACGGCGTCACTCCCAGCTAGACGCGCAGCGCAGACCCGGAACTGGTCAGGACTGTCGAGGGATGATGGGGTTTGCCACCACGACCCCAAGCACCCCAAGCCTGGAATCTTAACCCGCATGCCGACGTGAACAGGATTTGACCCCAAGGACGGCAGAGCTCTCTTGGGCAAAAACAAAATCGCCCTGCTCATCCCACTGGGAGTGAAGGACTGACCCCAGAGCGAGAGGGGCTCTGGGACCGGGCTGCACACAGTCCCACAGCCCCACAGGCCTGAAGCCCTGGCACACCGCTGCAGCCTCTTGCCCAAGACCAGACTGCCTGCTGGGCTCTCCTCACCCCCACCCCCATCCCCAAGCCACGTGGGCACTTACCATTCTGCTGCACGGGAGCCATTCTCCTGGAGAACGAGGGCTTGTCGTCAGCGGGGGCAGGAGCTGGGGAGAGGAACGGGCACAGTGAGAGACGACGCGCCCCCTCCGTGCCCCTGTGACTGCGCGCGGGACGGAAGTCACAGAAGTGACAGCACCCCCTGAAAGCTGGGCAGCGAGACACTCTGCCAAAACAGGGGACCCAGTCTTCTGATGCAGTGGTCTTACCTTAGGGCGTGGGGCTACTCATGCTCAGAGCCCGCAAACCACCAGGTTCGAACGTCAGCAGGGGCAGGGCGAGCTGTGCTCATCGTGTGTCTGAGCAGCAACGGAAAATACAGTGACACCTTCAACAATAACTACACTCCTTTTCAGAGCCAGCGCTCACAGATTTGCTCTTCGGGTTACACCAACTGGCATGGAGACAAGACACACAAGAGCCTCCTCCAGTTTCCACTCTCTTAGGCTCTTCAGGTATGTGCGTGTTAAAGCAATCAGAGAACGCCTTCCCTGCAACACCGCAGGTGACACGGAGCCCATCCACTCCAGAGCTCACACCTGGGACACGCGTGACCTGACGGGCGCACACAAACAGCAACAGCAGCGTCCACATGCTACGTTTCTATAAAAGCGTTATAGAATCTTGAAATGCCATCATTTACGATCTCTGCAGCGTCAAAATGTTATCGGGTAACTACGGATACCAGCTTGGCCACAAAATGTTACTCGAGTTCAAAAGAATAATTACAAATCAAAATCATTTCGAGCACGTGGAAAAATCAGAAACCATTTTAGTGGGCTACCCAAAATCTCGACATTAAATTTATTCCACGCTTTTCTATTATACAAAACACAGTTGCTGAAACCCATCCTTTTCAGGGTTAAAGCAAATCAGTTCACCTCTAATATTCAGCCTTAAGCTTCTGATGACAAAAGACATAGAAAATGCACTGATTCTGGACCCCCTGAGGAATGGAGCCTGGAACATCGGTCCTAGAAAGATATGCAGAATCATGCTTGGAGACGCTGACTTATGGGGTGCACATGAGCCCTGATTGAATTCTGGGACTGTTCCTGAAAACCAGGTGGTCAAGATAGGCCAGACAATCCTTTATTTAGCATTAATCTCTCTAATCTGCTTTGTAATCCTCCCACTGCTATGCCTGGGTAAACCTGCTCATATTTAAAGTGTCAACAAAGCTAAGCTCAAGAAAAAGAAATATACAGAAACAAAACATCAAATTCAGATTTTCAGATGATGGTGGAAAGATTCCACTTATGTATAAGTAACAGTTACATTTCACAGTCTTAATGACATTCAAGAATATTTTTAACAAAGCACCCCATCGATATACCGGGGTGAAATCCACACAGATGCTCAGGTGACACCAGGCTGGTGGGGACAGGAGCTGGCTGTGTAAGTGTTGAACTTCAGGTCCCATCCTAAGCAAGTGGTGCCCCAGGCACTCCTGCCCATCCAGTTCAGCGTGTTTGTCTGGTTGCACAGGGGCTGGGCTGGGTCTGTGGGCCAGGTGAGTCACCGACATGTGGAAAAAAACTCCTGATGCATCGGCTGAGGCGGCCAGACAGGTTTGTCAGCTCTCCCAGAGCCCCCTGGTCTGAGTCCTCTGTACACTCCCTGAAAGGATTACATCACGGCGTCGCGTCTGGAGGTAAACGACCGAGAACTACTGCCCTAGTGAAAGACCAATCCCCAGCTGTGTAGATTCCCAGGGGGGGCCAATGTACCGATAACCGACTCCAGTCCTTTCTTCCCTGCAATCCATTGAGGATGGGGACCTCAAGAGGGATTTCCGCGTCACAGCCCCAGCTCCACTCAGCTGTTCCCCTGTCCCCCACCATGGTGATGCATAACACACCAGGACAGAATGGCCTTTCGACACCAGAGCCCGACAGGAGACAGGACAAGCTGCACAGAAAACTGCCGATTGTTTTCACTGGTTTTCAGACATCACCGTGTGGAAGAACAGAGGGGCTCCCTTATTTTGTATCTTTGAAAAACTCTCTCTGCCCACTGCTTGTTTCTGTTTGAACTATTTCATGAACCAAGACAATAAACAGCCCTTGGGCCACAGAAGACAAGCTGAAAAGGGCTCAAGGCCTGTTGTTTAAAATTAAATGAAATTAGAAGCCAGAGTCACTCACTCCTTTCTACCGAGTTTGTAATTAAGATCTGTGCAGTTTATGTACAGCTCTTTTTAAGCTGAACTGTAAGAAGCTGCATACAAGTTGCCATTTTACAGCTACACTGCTAGTGTTAAAGGTCACCAGTTTGAAAACCCATCCTTTAACAACTACACACTGAAGCAAAAAGGCTTTAAGTAAAGAATGAAGCACCGAGCCAGTTTGCTGTCAGAAACAGAAGCCTTTTTATTTAAGAACTGCTAAGATTACAGGGCGGCTCCAGCATCTGAGAAAAACTGGGTCGATACCGTGGGCTGGGGTATATTTTGGAACCTTAACCTGAAACAGAGTAACAGAGAGGCAACTTAAAAATAATTCCTCTACACCTAACTTAAACCCCCCACACCCAAAACCAGAATCCTCACAGTTACAGGAGCTTTCAATGGTACAGGAACAAAGGAGCAACAAAGCCACCCGCCTCCCAGGAAATTCTCGCTACTGTAAACTTATTTCATTACATCAGCTGTACTACCAAGATCAGCCTCAGCCTTCACTCCTGCATTCGCTACCCGTTTTTAATCAGTTCTGATACATTAGGCCACTTGGGTGAGATCAGTTTCACGCTTTCTGCGCCAGAAAGGCAGACTTTCTGAGTTCTGGATCTTTGCTGCATCTATCGGCACAATCCATTCCAGTTCTGATTGGTTACACTTCCTGGGCAACTTGTCATAACCTTTCTCTACACGCCCAGACATGCAGGGTGAATTAGAAACCCAGGCAGGCAGGCTTTCTGTGTTGCAAAGTCAGCTCGATAGGAACCATATGCGTGTCCAACGGTTTCCTTCAGGTTACTTTTGAAGTGGGAACAGGCACTCACAGCTCCATCTGCACTGACAGCTTTCCAAGTTTCCAAGCCATTGGGCTGAAAACCATAAGATTAAAACACTCACTCAGCAAACCATTCCGTTAACTCTGCGCCACAAATGTGCATTTTACATGAACAGGGTGATGTGAACCAATTTCCTGCAGACATGAAAGACATTCCACTGATCTTCCAGCCCTAGAAAGAACGATGCATTGACCTCAGTTTGCTGTTCCAATTTTGTTCAAGGCAGATACCAAGATTACATAATCTGGACCTGCTTTCAGAGAAAATATTTGCCACAAAAAAACTTAAAGAATCTGTACCACTGTTCAAAAACAACTCCCCTTTCAGGCCCTGGAGTTCTCATCAGTAACACTGCCCAACCCTCCCCTTCAATTCCAACACACATCAACAGCCCATCAACACAGAAACGTATATTCTCCGTCTTCGGAGTGTCCCAGCGTTACAGCATGTTTCGGTTACGGCTCCTGGCACTCACCTCTCGGACACACCAGAACAAGCGACATCTCCATACACTTTTCTACCTCCGTTTGCCAAATGGATCAAAAGGAAACCATATAATATGTGTTACACAACTCTCCCATCGTGAACTGCAGAAGACCAGGAATAAGGACAAATGCTTGCACTGAATCTGACAACCCACTCAATAAATTAGGTAATTATTTGTAAATCACTTTAAAACAAATCCTAGTGAGGTAAGGGCTGAAGCTGGGGTGTAGGGTTCTTTGTTTCCTGTTTGCGTGTCACTGCTGTTAATTCCCCTCCCTCCTGAAAAAAATTGAGCTAATGCGTCTTCACTGACCCTTAATATGCGGCAATTAATTCTTTATTATTGGTTTCAATCTGTGGATTTATAATTGGATTATTAATGCTATAATAAATGATACACATAACTCAGCTGCATTATGAGCTTGAACATTTGCTGCAGCAGGTTTTCTGTATGTTTAACTTCTCAACAGCTGAAGCCAGGAAGAATAGATGAGTGGGCCAGTTAAACATTAATGGGATAGGTTTCTCCCTTCCCCCATCTGAGCAGGACACACAAGACATGAGCATGCTTGTTCTGTGCTTCAGCGTCTTATCTGCAGTCATTTTAACACGACTGATCTCATAAGCAAATTATCCGTCTGCAACCCGAGACGCTGAAAGAGCCCCCTAGTGCCTGATGCCCCGCACTGCACCCGTGCTCACCTCACACTTGCAAGAATACTGCTGAAGCACAGATGCTATAACCTTAAGCCACAAACAATATAAAGTACAACCACACAGCGCCGCTCTAGGTCGGGCAAGCTGATCTCCAGTCCTGGACAGCTGGTGTTTTCTCTAAGCACCAGCATACGAACGCCTGCTCAAGTGCTTCAGTTGAGCCGATAACGAGACCATTTTGGCTGTTTAGAAATGTAGAAGGAGTGGAAAACCTCCCGGACCAGAATGTGACAAACCTGTACTCGCAGTTTAAAACAGAGCAGGGGGTCACAGCCGCTGTGCGACTGGAATCGCGCAGGAGCTCACGACGTCGGCGTTTAAAGCAAAGGGGTGCAAGCACTGGGGTCCCACTGCCGGGGGTCGCCACAGGTGTCTTGACAGGGCCAGCCGACTCACCTTTGACCCCGCTGCAGGCTGCTTCGCACTGCTCCACGGTCTCGTAGTTGTTGGCGTTGCCCTCGCAGCCTCCGTAGGTGAACGGCAGGCAGGTCTGGTTGGGCGCCGAGTAGTAGAAGCGTGGGAAGGCGGCGCGGCAGGGGCCCATCACGGCCGGGGAGAGGCAGTTAGCTGAGAGAGGGCAGAGAGACGCCACCATTGTCAAGTCTCGCCCCGTAACCAGCAGGGCTCTCGCACAGAATCGAGAGGGACACGACGATGCTGAGCAAGACCCCACAAGTTACCCAAGGAACAGCCCACCCATCTCTGATCTAGCCAGGCGCTTCTTTACCCGAAGGGTGGTGGGAGAGTGGAACAAGCTTCCACAGACGGCAGTGGAAGCTGACAACATGAGAGCTTCTTGCATGAAAGGACTGGATGAGATCCTGGGATCGACACGCTACCAAACGGACAAGACGCCATTTGCTTTCGGCATTTAAAGACACTTACACACAGTTTCCACACTTCCCTGAGCTCTTTCACATCCAGACTCAAAACTTTCTTCTTTTGAAGAGCATTTTTCTTTAACAAGTTCAGTGTCTGCCCCTTCATATTCCAAACGCTTATTGTGGTTGTGCAATTCTGCTGTCTCCTCTACTTGGGTGCATTTTTTGTAAAGCACTTTGAGAAGCCACTTGTAAAGGCGCTATATAAAATAAAGCTCATTTTTATTATAACACATCCCATCATGCCTGTTTGGCAGTTTATTTCCAGTCCCTGAAGGCGAGGAATCTCAAATCTTTAGGAATCTGCGAAGCCCCAGTCTGGATGGTTTTTCAGGTCACCAGTTTCTAAAGATATGAAACACTTCCACTGTGATCTATTAAACAGGGTGTTTTTTTAATTAAAAGATAAATTACTTAATACATTAAGTCAATTAAAGAGCATTTACTGTACGTCTTAAATCAAAGTACTCTTCAGCCCCCTAGGACCGGAGTTCTCTTAATGGGAAAGGTTACTTACTTGATTGATCAAAAGCTTACAGCTGTTGTCAACCTTTAAGAACAGGTGACCTATAAACTAATTGGACTTGGGCTCTGCAGGAGCAGGGGCTGGAGTCTCCTGCTGGAGACTGATGATACATACTGCTGGCCTGAGACCTTCATATCCACTTAATCCTCAGCAGTATCAGCCAGCAGGGGAGACAGCCTTTCAGAATGAGACAAGCCCTTGCTGCTGACGTCTGTGAAAAACACTTCAATGAGAGAGAGAGAGATACATTGTATCCCAGAGATGACATCGTGTCTGGAAAATAATCACCTACAAGCTAGAGGTACCCGTTAACCTAATTAAAAGTAATTAATGGCAAAACTACACAGGAACAAGTCGCGCATCCTGGCTGATGGCCCTGAGAGTCTAGGGTTAAGGATCATGGCTTTTAAGTGCACAATGTAAATCTTACTCTCATTCTTTACAAGGTTTGGAATAACACTCGAAAACTGTACATTACTTCGTGCTTTATTTACAGCTGCTAGCTGCAAGATAGTTTTAATTCCATCATCCTGAATCGAGGCTGCCTGCTGCTCCTGGTGTGCCCCACTGTAAGCTGACTGTGGCACTTTCCAAGCCTGCTCATCCCGAGTTCTTGTTCTGCATTGTGGTTTTAAAAGCTAAGCGAATTCTCCCCCTTGCGAAACTTGCCACTACCCCCACCCTCTCCCGAGAAGTCTTGGTTCTCCTAAATGTGGGGGCACCATTTATAACCCAAAGAGACAAACACACTAGACATCATTAAGTATATAGTACACATTACAGATAATCAAATTCATTAAACAAACAGTTTACACACAATCCCAGAAAACAGACAGATGACAAACCACCAAAGGTAGCATAAAACATGTTTCCTGTGTTTATGCATTATAAAACCATTTTACATTCTAGAGCGCACTAATGTTTTCTTGTTACGCCAACATAAAGGGGATTTTAACCACGCATAATTATCCAAGCCAGACAGCCACCCACCACAGAGGGGGAAAACAAATTAAACTGAATTAAGGAGCAAAACGCTGGTCAGTCTCATATCCAGGAGTATAACTCTGTAATGTCTAATCCACTCCAGAGAGGCAGTGCTGCTACTGTGCAAACTGGTCTGTCCTTTCACCCTCCCCCAGGGAGAGATGGCTTAGCTGAGGGATGGGGCTGGGCTGTCTTTCTGCATTCTGCCAATGCTTCAGGGCTGCTAACTGCTCCACACCCAAAGTGGCATCTCTGCCGATGCCCGATCTCAACAGGGCTTTGTCAGAATCTTGCATTTTACAAATATTTTTTGATGGCTATATAAGATGTCTCCCTTAATTCGTACACGATAGCTCCAGGAAAGGTTCGGTTCGAATACAGTTTCTTGGGGATATAACGGGGTCACCCACAACGACTGGTACTGCGGCCACAGTGCAGCCACATCCTGCTTCGAATCAATGAGGCTGGTCAGTTAGCTTTAACCTACTGTGGATATATTTGCAAATGGGAGGAGGCCAGTTGGTCTATCTACCTCTTTTGGGTTTTAGTAGCTAAATAATCCCAGAATCCCATCCAGTCCTTATTGAAAGAAGCAAGGGTATCATCGGCTGTAACCACATGGCAGGGCAGCTTGTCCCAGACACCTACAACCCTTCGTGTAAAGTCATGCCTTCCTGTACTCAAGTTTAAAATACACTTACCAGTAGTTTCCAAATGTCCCCGTTTTCTTCACCTCAGATGAGGATAAACTGCCCATTTTTTCCTGAGGATTACCCCCCGTTTCCCCCGAGGGGCCCTGGGACCCCTGTGTGTGCAACCGAATGCCAGCGTGAGCCCTGCCCCAGGATCAGAGGCAGACCATCATGGAGAAACCTGAAATTCCCACCCCGGGCACCAAACTGAGGCAGGGTTCAAGCAAAGGACCAGCGAGTCCTGAACAGATCTATCGGAAATCCAATACAGTTTTTCTTACCAATGTCTACAGACAGTGCTGTCACACCCTCATCTGTCTAAACCCTTCACTGCCAAAGCCCTGACGTCCTAAGAGCTAACCAAACTTCCTCTATTTTAAAACACAAAAACCTCAGCCAACAGCCTCTCAGCTTTTAATTTATAGCAAACTTGCTCACTTCTATTCCAACTGACCCCCGTTTTCCCTGAAACTTGACTGCTACTCCTACAATTGTCAAGACTGTTTCTCACTGCAAGAAATATCGAAAAACTGAAAAGGTTTCAGATAGTGGCACCGATTCAAGGAGCAGAAGAGATGGCTTTGGGCAGATTGGCCGGTGCCAACTTTGCTCTGGAAGGCCATGGGGAAATAACCGCAGCTTGTGGAGACATTCAGCACGTTTAGTCGTGCGCCTCCATGGCTTTTGAGCACGAACACGAATCCCTTTCACACATCTGTGTGGAACACGTCCAAGCATCAGAATTTCAAACAGCGCATCTCGGCCACTGAGACACGTTCTTATCAGATGACAGGGTGGAACACAGCGAGACAGTGAGCAACAGTTTTTTTAGAAGCTGGAAGACTAGAAGCATCTAAACTCAGATTAGACGTTTCCAACATGATACAGTCAGCACTTGTTCCATCTTTCCTTACAATGATAACGAGGTTTTACAATTAAATATTTTAGATTGAAATATCCTCGTAGGCTGTTTGAAAGAGATTCTTGTTTCTTTTGTGACACAAGAACTTTTCTCCTATGATGTATTACAATTCTAAAGTAAGGACAAAGAACTCAGTAACAGGAAACTAAGGATCATGTTCCACGTCGATACATGCTGATGCTTAAATCAAAAAATCAGATGTATTCCAGGGAACAAGTTGGGGTTGATTTGATCATTGTTTGTAGGAGGAGAAATGATACTTAGCATGTTTTGATGTTTACCTCAAGGTAAATCAAGATTTTCTTCCCCCCACAGGCACCGTTTGCTCAAGTCTCGTTTGGATGTTTGTTGAAGAAGGAAAAAGAGCTTATTGAAATGTTGACATTGTCTTTCTCTGCAACACCTCGGCTTAAGACACACCTCCTCCTCCCTTCTCCCACATCCACCTTCAAAACACGAAACCCGATCCCCCTCTTGCCCTCTGTTGACAAACCAGTTTTACTGTTGGTTTTAGAAGAAGAAGAAAAGATGTTGTGCAAGCCCGACACGAAACAAGTCAGAGAATAAGAATTTAAACACCCCTGTGAGAGGCCCACTCGGCCTGGTCAGTCAGTACACAGTGCGCGCAGAAATGCTGGGAAACGTTTCGATATTGATGCTCTTTTTGCACTCTTTTCTCCACTGTAAACGTGGTGGGGGCGGAGTGCACAACAGGACAGCGCAGTCCGGGCTTTCCTGTCTATGGACTTGCCGTTGGCCTACCTTCTCAGTCATGTTCTACAGAGAACCCCTTGTGCTGTGTCTCTCCAGTCCTACACCGCGCATACCTGGTGCGGTATTTACATACAGGAAAATATCCTTCTACGTGAACTAGTCCTGGCTAGCAGGAAGACAAACAATGGCGGAAGATTCCCGAGCCGCTATGCACAACAGGTATACCGACACCTCGCATCTGTGCCAGTCCTTCAGTTGACGTGCAAACAGAAAATCTCCAGTCCGCACCCAGATTACAACCGCCCGGCCGAAAGACTGCACCTCGCTGCAACTGCCCGAGACTCTCTGCTCTCTGGACTGCTGGCCAAAACCGTCACGAAAACGCCAACCGACTGCGACATCAAAACCCACAACACTACACCCACACGGCATAAGTAACTGCTTTTACTTTCTGAAACAAAGAGGGCAGGTATACTGCGGACAAAACTGACTTCCGAGCCTCATATCTTGACGCGAAGTTCAGGGGAACCCGCCCGTCCTCCCTGAGCCCGGAGTTACCTGTGCTGTTGCTCCCGGCTCTGTCGACCGGGGCGGCCCGGAAGGCGGTGAAGCCGTCCTTGGCGGTCAGGACGCAGACATCGCGACCGGCGCTCAGGCAGCTGACCAGGTGGCACTCGGCGGGGGCCCCGGCCGTGCTCTCCAGCAGCGCCAGGGTGCACTCCTTGTGGCCGCAGCAGGCTTGCCGGCAGGACGCTTCGTCCGACACATCGGGCAGGTGACCGGAGTAGCTGGCCCCGTTGTCGAAGGACTGCTGGTCCAGACCCTGGCCGGTGAGCTTCACGAACGCCTCGGGGCAGCCGTCCTTCTCCCCCAGGTCTTGAGCCTGTCCGGTCCCGGACAGAAAGAGACAGAGGGCGGCGAACGCGTACCACACCTGTGCCATTGTCGCTTCCGAAGCAAACGCCAAGACCAAGCGCTGCCCTGAACTATATTTATGTGGGGACGTTTTATGCCACCGAAAGAAAATACTTAACAGTTAGTCTCTTGTGACGGGATCTTGAGTTTCAGTCCTGCGGAGCTCCCTGCACTTCCTGTAGTTACGCTGCGCTACAGTTCCCAATGCCTGACCTGGACAGGTGAGTCTCTGCTATAAACAACAGGAACCAGAGCGAGCCAGCCGGTCCCGCGCCTCACTTCCTCGTGTGACGTCACTCCCAGCTCTTGTCCTGCTTCTTCTCCGTGTGTCGGCGGTGACCGTCCTGGTGAGACTTTTCGCTTGTTCTGCGAAAAAGAGAAGTGCATTTTTTTCCCCCTTGCACGATGGACAGATTCCCACGCGTAACTTCTCGTTTTGACTTTTTAAAATTACCTGCCTGCACAGGTGAGAGCCTCTCTGTGACAGGGCGACCTCTGTGACGAACACAAGCACTGAGTTCATTTCAGGGGCTGTTAACCGCAGTACTGCCACGTTAATGTATCTGTTTCTTCTTACTTACATTTCTTCTGACCTTTTGAAATAGGCGAAAACACATTTCGTGTTCAAATCAGATATCGGTATAGTTGTGTATGTTCAAATAGAATAGTCCCATACGTCTCTGTAAACGGTTGTTGTACTAGTAGTAATAATAATACACAAGATATACACAATAAAAATGCACAATGAGAAGAGACAGTAGAGGGGGTAGTGAATACAGTAGGAGCAGGTAAAGAACAGAGCCAGTTAAGTAAAGGCTCTTCTAAAGAAGAAGGTTTTGATTCTAGATTTGAAAGAGTTTAGGGAAGGTAACTCTGGTATCCTTGGGAATAGAGTTCAGAGCTCTGGGGCATTACAGGAGAAGGCCCTGTCACCCATAGAGTGTAGACAGGCTTGGGGGACAGATAGGAGACCAGAGTTAGAAGAGCGAAGGTTGCAAGGTGGGGAGTAGGGCGATAATAGTTCACACAGGTACTGAGATGCCAAGTCATGCAGAGCCTTATAGGTGAGCATGAGGAATTTGAAGTCGACACGAAACTTGACAGGAAGCCAGTGCAAGGACTCCAGGATAGGAGTAATGTGATCACTTTCACTTGACCTGGTCAGGATTCTGGCTGCTGAATTTTGTACATACTGGAGTATGTTCAATGTGGATTTAGAAACCCCCGCAAGTAGAGTATTACAGTAGTCAAGTTGGGAGAAGACAAATGGGTTGATCAGCTTTTCAGCCACAGTCAGTGATGAAATAGGGCATAGTCTGGCGATGTTTCTGAGGTGAAAGAAAGATGTTTTGACAATGTGCTGCACATGTGGGTCGAATGTCAGCCTGGATCAAATCCCAGGTTTTTCAATTTAGACTGAAGCTCAAGTACAGTACCATCCACAACCAGGGTTACAGGACTGGCTTTACAAAGTTGATCGGGGGTGCCAATAAGCATGACCTCAGTCTTGTCACAGTTAAGATGAAGGAAAGTTTGAGTCATCCATGTTTTTATGTCAGAGAGAACAGAGACAGCCACATCAGTGTCAGGCTTGGTATGGATGTACGTGGAGACTGTTTAGTAATGTAATGTTTCTTTATTAGCCCTATACAATTTCTTGCATTAGGAATTCATCTTTTCGCAGACCCCAGCTTTTCTCCATGGAGACACAGACAGGGAGAGAAGCTTGGGGTCAGAGCGCAGGGTCAGCCATTGTACGGCGCCCCTGCAGCAGTTAGGGTTAAGGGCCTTGCTCAGGGGCCCAACGGAGTAGGATTCCTCTGCCGGCTGCAGGATTTGAACCGGCAACCTTCCAGTCACAGGCGCAGATCCTGAGCCACAGAGCCACCGCTCCGCCCTATCACGTTTACAATCTGAAATAAGAGTAATGGGGTATTTGTAATTAGCATTTCATCACAAGGAATCACAAAACGCTTCACACATAAGAAGGCACATATTTCACTCTGTCCCCTGCCACCAAACCACGCACTGGTTTGAAAGTTCTGTTCCACAGGGATGGGCGCCACCTACTGGTCCACATGTGCCATGGACAGCAGCTGCCTGTTTTTCCTTAGAGCTCTACCCTCAAAGCCAGCTTTGCTGAACCTGAGATGTAATGGTAAGGACTGTAACACCGCTAGTGACTATAATTAATGTTTTGGTGGTGTTTGCCATGAGAGTGTTTTGTTCGCAGAGTTATTTTCCATTGTATTTTTTCTTTTTCTTAGATCTGAATTTACAGAGCTGTATATTTTCACAGGAACTCTGTAAGGTGAAACATTGGGTACTAAACAATCAAGTGCAAATTCAGGAGTACAAAGTGGTGCAGATGAAAGAAATAGCCCACCACACCTGTGCTGGGTGCATGTCCCTCTGAATAACTGTTTGTTTTTAACATCAATACAGCATTAGGAACCGAAATAACACGGTGTTCTGCGAGCCCCCAAAGCCCTTATTTACATCTCGTCGTATCACGTGACGTCATGTGTGGTTCGATGACGTCGCCTCAGGATGCTCCGATCACATCACACAGACTCCCTTCCATTTGGAACTGGAACTTTTTCATCCCGTGCAGTCGGTGCTGCTACCACAAGGTGGCAGCAACACCCCGGCCTACATGGGACTCCGTCAATTCCTTCGAGAATGGAGGCGCTGGCCTCCTCATGATACAGCACGCTCACATCAGTTGCTTGCACGCGCTTACTGGCTGCGGGTTTCAAATAACACTAAAGATCGTTCTGGTCACCGGCCACCAAACCTACTTGGTGGCTTTCAGGGGTATTAACTGCTTTGTCCCTCCTAAGTATGACCGTCTCAATTCCGCGCCGGCCCGTGCCCCTGCCAATCCACCCTGCCGGTTCGTCCCGCAGCACCTGGGGTGTGGACCCGGGTCTCCGACATAACGCAACAGGGAGCCAGCCGAGTGAGCTAAAGGAGACCTCCCCCAGCCCTGCTCCGCACAGGGAGGGCGATGGCCTAGCTCCGCGACATGAGGATGCATCTTACTTCTTGTAAGTGTGATTTCATTACACACATGGATTCTCCCAGCTGCGCAGCTGCTGCTGATGTTGTAGCTCTTTGGATGATTTGGGCTTTAATCAGCACGTCAAGATTCCAGTTCATAAGTGAATCCGTAGAGTGGACTAGACCAATTCTTGTAGTGGTTTTACTTCCAGCCTACAAGCATTTGAACTGAGTGTTTCTGTCAACAAGCTGTCTCGGCGGGCCTGGGCCTCCCTCTACCCCCACGTCCGGTGACGAGTGAGCTCTGACCTTCCATAGACCCCGCTTGGTGAACTCGGCTCGCTGGGCGGACTCAGCTGGTTCCTTCTGCTCGTTATTCTTGCCGGGACGAAGACAACAAAGACGCCATCTGTGGAAGAATGTAGGCCTGATGTCAGGCTTGCGGAGAATCTCAACTGCCATATAGGGGTACAGTACAGATGGGCAGATCCCCTCTCTACTCCAGCCTTGTTCATGATGCCTCTACACACCCTTTCACTCACCATCGGTATTGTATTGGAACCAGTCTCTTCCTCCCTCTGCTGACCAGTGACGTGATGTCTGATGGACTCTCACAGTGAGTCAGTTAATATTATTCTCCTCCTGGACTGGGCATCAGGTACGTGACCTCACTGCTACACTGATTATACTGCTGGATTTTCAGACCAAATCAGACACCACTGCTGCAGTTTCTGCACATTACAGGTGTCTCATCTCTTTGATATGGATGTGACAGAACTTCTTTACACTGAACTCCACCAAGAAGGAGATTACGTTTGTAGGCTCCAAACATCAACCCTGCAAGGTGGGTGACATCAGTGTGTTGTTGATGGTGCTCAAACTCTAGATGGAAATAAGAGAGGACTTTGTGTACCTTTTCATCCTGTGTTGTCAATTGCAGCTCATGTTTTGAGCATAACAAGATGAGTCTACTGTGTCACCTTACTTACTAGCAGAGCTACTAAGGTATTGAGTGTTTCCAGAAGTCACCACCCTGCATCAGCAGGACATCATAACTCCTGTTCTTTGAAAACTGCACTGGCTCCCAGTAAGATTTAAAACAGACACGATGGATTTCCTGTTCATGTATAATGTCCCAGCTCCTGGTTATTTTAAGGGCTTATTGCATGAGTCAACCCCAACTCTTAATCTGAGATTTGCTGACTCAGGTCTTACTCTGCTGATTCCAGACTTCAGATCCATTAGAGACTCAGTGACACTCAACATTTTTGAGCCTCACTGAATAACCTATCACTTCACTATACCTTTTAGTGTGTAATTCAGTTTGGGTTTTATTGGATTAACATGCTGTGATTTGTTTCTCATTCTTTTTACTCCTGTCCTGCATATGTTTTTGTGTGCCACTGTTGTTAGCAGCAGCAACATGTGTTGTGTTTTGCTTAAAAAAGCAATGCAAATATGGCAAATATTGACTGTTCCAGAAACACTGATGATTTGGCCAGCAGCCACCCTGCAACTCACAACTGGCAACCCACTAAAGCTCACCAGGTGTGAGCCTGGTCAGTACCTGGATGGTAGACCTCCTGGGAAAAACTCATGTTGCTGATGGAAGAGGTGTTAGTGGGGCCAGCAGGGGGCGCTCACCCTGCGGGTGGGTCCTAATACCCCAGTATAGTGACTGGGACATTATACTGTAAACAGGCACAGTTCATCGTATAAGATGACCGAGGTCCTGACTCTCTGTGGTCATAAAAAATCGCAGGGCGTTTTCTTGAAAAGAGTAGGGGTGTAACCCTGGCCAAATTTCCCATTGGCCCTCACCAATCATGGCCTCCTAATAATCCCCATCTCTGAACTGGCTTCATCACTCTGCTCTCCTCCCCACTGATAGCTGATGTGTAGGGAGCGTTCTGGCGCACTATGGCTGCCGTCGCATCATCCAGGTGGGGCTGCACATTTGGGGGGGGTGGAGTGATCCCCATTACCTGTAAAGCTCTTTGAGTGGAGTGTCCAGAAAAGCGCTATATATGTGTAAGGATATTATTATTATTATTATTATGTAACAGAACAGACTGGAGGGTGAGTGTCCTAACAGCACGATGGGAACGTGCTGTAACCTAAAGAAAACAGACGTTGCAAATCTTGAGAAAAAGCATTTTCTGGAAGAAACACAGAGTCCGGTGGTCCCAGTGTGGACACGACAGAGCCTCACCAGAGTTTTTCAGGTGTTCCATGTTAAGAGGTGTGAAGGGGTCTCCAGAAAGAAAGAAAGCGACTTTTCCCCCTGCAATGCAGTAACGTGTAATCGAAAACTCTCGCACACCGGATTGCTCTGACGGCGCTTTATAGGGGCAGTGGAAGCGGGATTTCTGTTTATTTTACAGTTTGTTGCAGCGCTCTCCGTGATAATGCCAGGCTTCAGTTTCAGCGCCTGTTTAGTAAAGAGGATCTCGCTGATGGAGGTTTTTACCCGCAGCTGATCTGGCTGCGCAGGGCGTGACGTGGACTGTCCGGCTGGCGCGGCGCACTAGGACCCAGAGCGCGGCCGCCCTCCCGTCTCGCCCTGCAGCTGGAGAGATACTGACTCGCGTGCCTCTCGCATCCTCGACAGTGCCTACCGCCGCGCGAGCCCGTCAGTACCGGACAAGCCATGGCAGCCAACCGGGTCGGGAGGCGATACAACCACAAGGTCCACTCGCCGAACCGGGGACCGAGGGAACCTGGGCTCCATCTACAGAAGAGGCAGGCTCGGGTGACAGTGAAGTACAACAGAAAGGAGCTCCAGAAGCGCCTGGACGTGGAGAAGTGGATCGATGACAGGCTAGCGGAGCTGTACCTGGGGAGGGTGAGTTCCCCGACTGAAAGCGACCCGTGTCTGCTCGATGGACAGGGCAGTAATCGTTCCTTCATGTTGCTAGTCACATCCGCCGCAGGTGAGGATCAGAAACATTCCCTGCCGGTGCCCCGTTCATCTGATCCTTTAATTATGACCTAAAGGGTAGAAATGAATCTTTGCAACCCAAATATTTCAGATTTGCAGGATTACTAAGGCTCGGAGGTTTAGCTGGAAAGAAGCTCTTAACAGGGTCGCGTAAAAAGCGCTCTAACAGCAGGCGCATTGAAAAAACAGCGGCGTGTCACTGCGGTGGAGAGGAGCTCTTTCAGTCTGCGGGTACACCGGGGTACACCGCAGCATCTTCTCCGGGCAGGCAGGCAGACACACCCGCAGACACAGGAGGCGGGCTGTCTGCGTTCGCTGGTTGACAAAATTGTATCAAGGACTCTCTTGCCTTCGTGTAATTTAAATAATCTCGTTGCGGCCAGTGGAAATGTGTCAGGAGGAGAGCGCAGCGCTGTGTTGGCTCAAGCACGTCATTAACATTAAGGTCTCTGCCCTTAACACAGCGGCACGCTCTGAAGGAAAGCACGAGCCACTTATGCACTCTTGAGGTACAATGTGCAAGTGACAGGCTTGTATTTTTCTTAAATTGAGGCGAATATCAGAATTTCCAGAAACGCGGATGCTGCTAATTAACATTGAAAAAGCAGACTGGAATATTTCATCTCCATACCTCACGACTAGGAACGTGCTGTAACCAGACACTCTAGCAATGGGATAATACTGCGCAGAATACCGAGCGACAGCTCTTCACAATCGCTGTTTGGACGCGCTGTGAGATCTCTGACAAGCAGACGCGGTGCGCAGATCGACATCAGGGAGACAGAAGTCGCTCACGGCACAGTGAGACACAGGGAGACACAGTGAGACACAGCGCCTGTCCGAAACACAGCTCAGTGGAAGATTCCAGCCCTGGCAGTAAGAATAAGGAACATGAAAACAGACAGGAGACGTTTCCAAATTCTTTCTTTCACGCCTTATATCGGCAGGTGTACTTTGAAATGGCTACGGTGACACTGGCACATAAGCGCGTCTGCGAAACTTATTTCACAGTCGCTTTAAAAATATCTAAAACCCTGATTGAGCCGATATTCTGTTAGAATACCTTCCTTCTCTTCTGCATCTTCACGTTTTGGCATAGCAGGAACAATACGTGCCCTGTAAAGCATTTCTTCAGAAAATGCCTTCCAATTTCAATAGAGAACATTTGAATTGCCATATCGCCATTTCCTGCCATAATAATTTTATTTTGTTCAGACTGTTTTCTATTTATAAAATAAAATGATTGATTTATTCCATCTGGGGTCTGTCTATCCCATTAGGAAGAATCAGGGAAAATAACAGTTACACTGGAAGTACCACGAAGAGCTTTTTACAGCGAACATTTGTTTTTTACCTCTAAAGGCACCTGTTTTAGAATTCTTCAGTTTTTGTTTGTGGAACAAAATAATGGAATGAGAACTGTTTTGTAGATTTCGAGGACTGTATACAAAGCAGGCTTTGAATTGCTCCACTTAGCGCATCAGATATAATTCCTGGTGCAGAAACACTGTACAATACTGGAGATTTTTAGCTCAATATAGTTTTTTTCTTAAAAGAAAATACTCTGATTATATGCAGAAGTTGCAAGGACAGGGAGGTGTGAGCAGGCTTTATTAGGAGCAGGCAAAGGTTTATTCCAAGCTGGAAAGAGAAGAAAAGAAACACAACGTTTCGGCTTCACACCGAGTTTCTCTTTTCAGCAGGAATAAACCTAAACTTGTTCCTTTGCAGCCCCACGCATGCTGACGCAGCTGCCCACTTTATTAGGGAATGACTGCTTTCTGAGACGGAGAGTAATGGCTGGGAGTTCGGTGCGCCTCTGCTCCTTCAGTCCGACAGCCCCAGCTCTGGGAAATGTTTTCTCCAGACCGGCACTGCTGGCACGCTGTTCCGACACTTTTACACAAACATCTGGGTAAAGTCTACAGCAGCCCTGAACTGGGAGAGCATGTGGGGAGTGGTGGGCTGTCTCTATATAAGGGAAATGGCTCCGTGTTCCCAGGGTGGAGAGCGGGAGAGAGCGGGGCCTGAGTCTGCACTCTGCTTCCCTGCTCCACAGAGACTCTCCGAGAGATGCTGCCTTAAATGGGCACCACTGATAATTGGCTTGGACTGAGCAACACGTGAAAAAACAACAAGTTTTTAGATCAACACACTGAAAAGAGAAAACATTTTCAGCTTGAAGCGCATGCCACTGTCCCCTTCCTGTGCTTAGATTTGGTGCTGAGCTGGATAGGGAGTTATTTCTGACTGGGTGGTGAATGTGAACCAAGCCGTGAAGCCTTCTGGGACAGGAAAGCAAGCATGTACTGTATACTCCAAAGTGGGAGTTGCAAGAAGAGACCTGCATGACTCTTCCTGTCAGGGGCACAATGGTTTTGTCAGGTTGTGCATTGTGGGGTTTGGTACTGACTTGGTGCCTGTGTGCTGGGCTTTGTGGAGACATCCTTCACCCCTCTACTGAACCATTCCATCAAAAAGTCCTGGTTTCTTCAATGGGCACATCAATGGGAATGTGGAGCACCAATGGAGTTCCCCAACTCTGATTTGAGTTTCCCAGTTTGCACAACCTTCTCCAAAGCACCGTCCCAGTTCAATCTGGAAACTTTTGTTGGAATTGCAAAGAGCAGATTTAAAGGGGAAAAGGGGGGGAATCAGTCAGGATGGGATGAGACATCAGACATCTGGAAGAAGATATAAACTACCAGCTTATGTATTTGTGACTGATGTGCCACCTCTGTCGCTGAAATATGCAGTACTGTGGTAAACCCATCTTCCCAAGACGAAGCATTTCTGACAGGTGTCTCACCTTGTGCGTCAGCAGCTCTGTTTCCTTCCTCAGCTTCTGTTGTGTTCGCCAGATCAAGGGTGGCGCCAAACTCAGCTTTGCCTTGAGGCACATTTTTGCCACCAAAACTAGATGTAATTTGACACGAATGCTCAGTACACACCTTGGAACCTTTAAGTACATGACAGAGCACTGGAGACACGGCTCTGGAAATTGCAGTCTGTCCTTTGACAGGGCAGTATGAACACAGCATGTGCAAGGGTAAGTGGTCAGAGGACCTTGTCAGAGGAAAACAGTTTGTCTCTAAGGGAGTTTCCAACCAGGATGAAGATGTCTGTAAAGTACACAATGGACCTCCTTGTGTGTATCTTAGGAGCTCTCCATTAGCCTTTCAAAGAGCCGGAATGGCTTCTATAAAGAACTGTTCACATCTAGAAATATGAAGACCTGCGTCTCTGAGACAGTGAGCCATAACCCATTAAGGAGGAGGTGATGTTTTAGCAGACGGAAAAGTCCAGAGGTTGTTGATTCATCAGCGGTCCGTGTGTCAGTTCAGCCAGAGTCTGCCCCTGCTCGGGTTGGCTCAGTTCTTGCTGTTACACAGCCTTGCAGGGGGAAAACGAACAAGGAACCGACTCTTCAGTCCTTCTGTCCCCGAAGATCACTAAACTCCAAACTCCGGACAGATCCCCATGAATTCTACTAAAGTATGGGCTCCTTCTCCTTCTTTGGTTTAACACTGACTGCGCCTCAGGAGTGTCACTTTCTAGGACTCACAGTGGTTGGAATTCGTGTGCACCATGAGTCAATGTGGAAAAAGCTGCGTGGCATTCTTGTGAATTTGCACAATGACTTCAAGCATTGCAAGTGCAAAGGGTTGCTTAAGGCTCTTGTATTGATACTGGTAATCAGGTTGACGGAGTTGTTTTTCTGTGATGTAAGCTGCATCTCCCATTTCCTGTTTCCTTGACATGACTCAGGGTGAATGTATGTGGGTATGTATGGTGAATGTATGGGGTATGTGATAGTTCTGCAGCATTGGGCAGGCTGTTCCGGTGCCCGAGAAGACAGCAAGAGTGTTGTGAGAGAGTTAGAGTGTTGTGGCTAAACACACACCTTTGTGTTTAGTGGCTTTCTATTGGGGTGATGTGTGTGCAAAACATTTTAAGATCAAGTCCAAAATGTCATTAAAAACATTTTAAGATCAAGTCCAAAATGTCACTTTAATATTCTGTACATTTTTTACCATGTAGGGACAGAATTGAGTGTTGTTTGTTTCCAAGCCAGAGTATTCGTCCCCCAGTGAATCTTGCCAGACGAGATGCTATCGTTAAAGTTGCTATCGGTCACATTCAACTGAAGAGTCTCTGTTTAAAGGGGAACTGCAACAGGGACAGGAGAAATCAGCACCGATGAGTGCTCTTCAAACCACAATGACAGTAAAATGTGCACAGCAAGGTGTAAAGTTCCGAACGAGGCAATACAACTTTCTGTGAGGTATAGCAGCCCTATTACATTGCAGAAAAGCAGGCTTGTGAATACATCTCTTTTAATCCAATAGAAATATTGCTCTCAACTTCGAGATTTGTTTTGCCAACAAATACTACTTACTTGTTAACTCTGCATGCAGAGCACATTTCCGCAGTGAAATGTCTGCTGCACAACCTGTACTTATTCACTCGTACAACGTATTACATTAGCCAATATGGTGACTAGTGAGCAGAAAGGGCCACAATTCAAGCAAACTTTCACTCTCTCCAGCGGGGAGACCAGGGGTTTGTGAAAACGTGACAACCAAACGGTACTTTTACAAAGTTGAAAATGTTTCTGCTTAATTCAGAATTTGTACAATTTTGCGATACCGTCAAGTAATTTATGTTGTTACCGAGATTTAATAAGTTAATGCAGTTCCCCTTTTAAATCCCGGTCAATAATTAAGACAGGGAATACTTGCTCAGTCACTAAAACCTGGGACTGACCAGTACGTGTCGGCCAGTCCTGGAGACAGAGCATGTCCATTGCATTAGAGCCCCTGTTTAGATCACAATCTGGGAAAGATTGATCTCACTGGCTCCGAATACAGTGAAGGGGGAGCATAATTAACACAAACTCCAAGACACGCTAAATCCACTAAACCCGGCTTAAGCGGGCAAAACAGGGCTGCTGTGTGGAGTTACAGACAGCTGGGTGTGCCAGTCTCTTCCAACAAGGTGGTAAAGAGCTGGCAAAGATCAGTCACTGGAGG